GTATCCAGTTTGTTTTCTCAAGACACACGGAGTAAGCACATGCCAACAGGGTTAGCAACTGGGTTTTCACAAAAAAAAAAAAAAAAAGTGCAGCAGCTTGGGAGGTAGAAACAACACGATGAGCAATAATTCATGTACTCAGAAACCACAACATATACAACCCATCCAAACCAAAGACTGAGTAAAAGGGCATTTTATTTTTCTAAAATACAGCTGGACACGGAGTCTCACTTGAGCTGTGCCAGGGTTTAGTTGTCAACGGAGACGTCCACATCGAGAACTGGCCAGATGTGAGGACTTTTACATCGTGCACAGGTTCAGCCTTCATGGATGTGTGAATAGGAAAAAGCTAAATCTCAAACCTGAGTGTGCTGAAGTCTTAAAATATTACACAAGATTCATTTACTGCTTATAAATGTCCAAAGGTCAAATAAGAATAAATAAAATAATTCAAGTAGAGACTAAAGTCCAAAATGTAAGATTTCTGAGGACAACTTTTGTTCTTCTTACACCTCAGACCAGATTCATTTGAATAAAAGATGTTCAGGTTTTAGAGAACGCTCATCCTGACTATATTTCTTGCTCGTCATCATCCATCATTTTCTTGATTCCAGTCATTGACCTCCTTCCCTTACTCCCTCTGTCTTTCTCCTCCCTCTGCTTGCCTTTCTCCCCTCTCCTCCTTCCCTTCCCTCTCCATCTTGACACAGTGCACTGAGCCTAATCGTGGATAATTGGGTGGGAGGGCCGGTGGGCTGGCCTTGCCTTTGTGTGCAAAGGGCAAGTGGTCAAGTTAATGGGGCCCTTGTGTCGAGCTGGGAGCACTCTGTCTCTCTTTTTCTCTCTTCGATCATTCTCTTGGACAGTCAATCTCAGTTTTATTTCTTCACTGAAGCTTTTTTCCTGCTGTTTCGATCCAGTTTCCCCTCATCTCAAGCCGTCTCATGTTGCCTTTCCTTCCATTCATCCACCGAGTCTTGGTACCAGTTCCATTTTCCTCCTCCTCTGCCCTCTTGTCTTTTTCGGCCTTTGTCTTCCTCTCTTTGCATCTGTCTGTAGCTTCTTCTTTCTCTTCTCTCTGCCTCTTCATCACAGTGTTGGGGAGGAGAGAACAGACCTCTTTAAAATATCAAAAGACAGATCAGGAGGCCTCACTGGTTTCCCCTCCTTCGACAAACTCTCCCTCCCCTTTTCTGACAGATAAACAGAAGAGTGAGCCTGCAGGATTAGCTGCCTCCCCTCCCTCCTTTATCCCACTCTCCCATTTCTTCCTGTGGAGGGGTGGACCGTTCACTGGGCATGATGTGTGTGTCTGTGTGTGTTGCCTTGTCTGGAACCAGTTTAGCCTGCAGGAGACCATTGTGTTGGAAACACAAGCAGCAGATGATCCGAGTTTTTATTACTGCTGTGAGCATTTGACACCCTATTTTTGAAAAATGCAAATGCATTTATTTTTCTGTTAATTTAAAAATATATATCTTAAAGATTAAAATAATCATTATAAGAAATGTTTTAAATCTGTACAGCTGCAAATGTTATATTGTGTCTTTTGTTTTGTTATAGCTGTCTAAATTAAATGTTTTTTTTATTCAGTGACAAACACAAATTTGCGTTTACAGCACAATGTTCAAACTGACATTTAAAAAAAGCTCAACCTTAGAGGAAAAAAGTGTTTTATTTTTTCACACAAACAGAAATAAAAATTATCCACAGACATGAATAACATCCAAGCGAGTTTCATTACAGTAAAGCAAAATATAATATTCAAGAAGTGCATACTGATATTGAAATGGGACCTTTCAAATATTAATTCAAAAGCCAACACATGTTGAGTTTGTCATGTCATCATGAACAAAAAACTTGAGTCAACGTTTTGAAATTAAAACAAAACTTTAAAGGCCTTGACTCTGTACAAACTCAAATTTATTCAATTTGTGCCATGTTTTTAGATTTGACTTAAAGGTGAAAAAAATTGCAACCTTGTATATAATTTTAAATCAATCTGAAATTAAATACAGGTGGATTTAATTGATTATCAAAACTGTAATTCATTTGAGCCTTTATACAATGTTGTGGCACAAACCTAAGAAAAAGTAGGCCTTTCCCAAAGTATTTATTGGATGTAACAAAGATCCAACTCAGTGTCTTGTTCTGATGTAAGCTCAATAATCCAGGTAAATAAATCCAAAAAAAGTTAAGTCGGGTCATCTGGACGGATTCTTCTTGACTAACTTTTCAGAACTCGGTGTTTTGCAACAACTTTTCCATTTCCCACCTTGATATTAATCAGTTGAGGCACAAAATCTGTATAAAGAGCATGTCAACAGGTTTTTGACTGTCTGTTTTCACAGTGGGAATTAAAAAAATTAAAATAAAGACAGAAGTGAGGGCATCATCATTTGAAAATATGACATCACAGCAGATGAATGTGGTCACTGAGAGCGGCAGTGATTCTGCAACAAGCAGCAACAACATAAATATCAGAGCAAACAGTGATCTCAGATTCAATATGTAGAGTTAGTGTTGAAGCTAAAAAGTGGAGTTTTTGTACACAGTCACAGTGGGAAGTGTACTTATGTAAATCTACATATATACAATATAGCAAATCACATTACAAATATGCTTAAAAATGTAATTAACCAGGCTTTTGAACTCTTGCGACATAATTTTAATCCTTAAACCAGTGAGACAACACGCATAATTGGCTTTCTGGGTTGTTCTTTTTATTTCTGAAGGCTGATTATCTCATAAAAATGTAAACAGCTACCACTGAGAGGTACTGCATAGAAGCCGTGTTCACCAGTGGATCACAGTGTAGTATGGAGACTGATTACTGCAAGTACACTTGCTGTTTTTATTATACATCCAAAACCAGTATATATATATATATATATGAGAAAACAACCTGAGAACAGGTGGCTAATAGAAAAAGTGACAGGATTAATATGAAACACTAAAGCAGAAAATGTTTACAAAGTTGTTAAAAGATTCAGAGGATACAGGCATGAAAAGTTTGTATTTAAACTCTGGATGTGATGGAGCCATGTTCTTGTCAATGGTGTACATGTCACAAACTGAGTTTCCACTGTTTCTTGGAAACGTACATGTGACAAATGCATGCTGCATCATGGCTGCTTTTTAATTACTGAACGTAACCTTTTGTCTGTATACTCTGAATAGTGTTAATTGACAGAGAAACAACTATATTAATTAGGGATGCACAATCTTATCGGCATGGTATCGCAACGGTTGATATTAGCGATAAAGTTAAATATTGGACATCGGTCATACCATCAAAATAACTCACCCGATATAAAAGGCGCCCTGTGATGAACCTGTCCAGGGTGTCCCCTGCCCCTCGCACAGTGATTGCTGAACATGGGCACTGGCGACTCCCGTGACCCAAAAATGGAAGAAGCGGGTAAAGATGATGGATGGATACAAAAGGCTTCTGTTTTCAGTTATTTTTTTATTTAAGAAACTGTCAAGTATATCTATTAATGCACTACTACTTGTGCTTTTCACTTGCCACTTGAGAACAGGTTGAGTTTAGAATTGTGAAAATTTACAAATTTGAACTGTTCGAATGATGCCATTGTGTTAGAGAGAGCAAATGTCATGAATAAATTTGACATTAAACATAATTCAAGTTGAAGTGTTACTTCATTTTCAACCCCCTTTTTGACATCTGCATTTGGCAGCAGACAAAACTGACAAAGACCATGCAGAATAATGAAGTATTTTAATTCAACAGCAGAGAAAGCTATGTAGTCTCTGTAAGTAGGTCTAGGGGAAAAAATATCCGTATTGGTTTCGGCTATTGGCCAAATAAGTTTTGACACATTAGCATATCGGATATCAGCCAAAAATTCAATATCGTGCATCCCTAATATTAAGGATTATGCTCCCTTACACATGTAGAGGTTTAAAATATAGAAAGAAGAAAGTTGTGTTGAAAGTCTAACTCAAACGTGGTTTTAAATAAAATGTCCTTTCACGATGACATCTACTTTATACACACACAAAAGCTTTTTTTTAATTTATTTTAAATCAATTCCACAGTATCTGGTCAATAAATGTATTTGTGGGTATTGTCTCTGCAAAATCCACCTCCACGTGTGTTCAAATGGTTCTCTTTAAAGTCATGATATCTGACACAGTGGAGCTGCGGCTGAGTTACAAACGTTCGTTAATAAAAGTCATCAGCACAATTTCAAAAACTTCAACCGCAAGCCAAGAGTGGAACTAAAGGTCCCAGAATTAAAGAATTACACCCAGTGTGTTGTTCTGTTCAAACACATTATAACACCAACAGAGTTGTGTAAAATTAATCAAGGTGTCCTTTAGTTGGGTCTCCGTGTCCCGTGACAATAACACTGTGTAATGTGCAATCTGCAGCTCCTGGAAGCAACGATGGCTCTTTTTAATCTGAATGTGCCTTAATGTGTTAATGCACCGTTGTAAGACATGCACAAATGTAGTTCTTGTACTGACCTCTGGCTGGGATGAATGAGCTGTATTAAAAGAAATTAGAGGTGGGGAAAAAAAGGGGAAAGTGTGAGTTGCTTCACACTGTGACAGTCAGTGAATTAAAGATGGCCTCCATGCTGAGGACAGAAACACAGTGGCGTGGGTTAACAGTGGCTGGTTAAAGGGGAAACACTCACTGAAAACCTGATACATGTGGAAAATCTCAATGTGGTTTAGTATATGGACAAAAACAATCAAACATCAAACTGAATGACTATTTGGCTTGTTGGTTGAACTGATGAATGGATGAGTAGGTAACTAATAAGGCTCATCATATGATTGAATTTTCAGCAAAATATCATTTATCTGACTTGCTTGACCAGATGACAGCTGATAATGAGATTTATATATCCGGACAAAGTTCGACTTAAAAGTCTGACCATCCGGACTGATAGCTGTTTGGCTGAAACAAACAAGGTCAGAAGTTGTCAGCTTCCAAACAAAAATACAGAGTGGAGCCGTCATGTGGTTTACGGAGCGTGGTTGACAGGTTGAGGTCCTTTGGTCACGGTGATGAGGAGAGGATAGTGGATGTTCTCATCGTATGCTTGTTTTCCTTCTCGCAGCATCTGAAAAAGCAACATATGCAATAACTAAACACAGCAACACACTAACATGTTTTATGTTTCCCTGATTTCAATAAAAGCCAACCTTGTTGACGAGCAGAAGAGGAGGTAAAGGGATTAAGCTGTTGTCATATTTATCATGCGTTTACGATTTATGTTAACTGCTGCCATGAAAGGGTGGCAATCCTGTAATTGTGTGTGTGTATGTGGTCTGTTTGTTAGCAAAAAAATCTCCTGATTGAGTGGATGCATTTTAATGAAATTCTCAGAAAGTACGGTAACTAAATGAAAACACTTCAGTACTTCAGTCTGGACCACTTAATGTTCAGCATAAGATGATTTTTATTTTAATGGATGAAACTTGACTGCAGTAAGGATACACTAATTCTAGCATTTTTTTAATGCATTTGTATTGAAAATGGGTTTGATATTACTGCAACAAAAACACATGAAATTAGGGCTGCAACAACGAATCGATAAAATGGATAAAAAAATCAATTTTTAAAAGTGTTGGCAATGAATTTCATTATCGATATGTTGTGCCGTGCGATTATGCGTCTTTCACGGCGTTGCGGAGTCATTTTCTTCACCCGCAGAGCATTATCAATGCTAGCTGACTAAAAAAAGTTTAAAAAACAAAACAAAAACTGCAGAGTGAGTTGAACGGAGCGAGGCAGAAGCAGAGCAGAGGTGGTGTTTTCAAAGTAATTTAAGTAAATTTTACAAATGACCAACGCCGAGAAAACGGTTCGACACAAGTCCTCAAAAGTGTGGGAGCACTTCACGCTTCACAAAGTTTAAAAAATGCGTAACATGCAGCTTTGAAAAGTGACAACATGACACGGGAGCACCACGGTGAAACGTAACCATGTCGGAGTCATTGATGAGGATGAAGGAGTTCAGCAGCCGGTAAGTCTCTACAATATCTGGCATTTGTTCTGTTTCCAAGAGAGAAAACATAACGTCAGTCTCTGGTAGCTTAGGGGGAGTGGTGGCACAGAGGTTAGAGAAGGTGGGCCTGTGATCGGAAGATCGCCGGATCAAGCCCCGGTACCGACAACATCAAAAATGTGGGTGGGGTAGGTAAAGCCCACACACCTGCCTCCACCCTCATTCGCCACACTCTGGGTCCATGAGCAAGGCCCTTAACCCCCATCTGCTCCCTAAACAGGTCTCTCTTGAAAATGAGTTATCATGGCTAACCTGTATAAATAAAGGTTAAATGATGCTGCTGGTTGTTTATCTGATTAATGACAGTGATAGAGAACGTGTGTGTTACTTTTTATTTCAATTTAATTTGTACAAGCAGTGTTTGAATGTGATTTATACATCTAACACAAAGATGGTAATAATGTACTGATTATGCTTCACATTTTAATTTACCAGCAAAGTCTGACTGAAGACACTGCATTGTATGGAATTAAGGCAGGATGGATTGCATTTAATATATATATATATATATATATATATATATATGTGTGTGTGTGTGTGTGTGTGTGTGTGTGTGTGTGTGTGTGTGTGT